TTAGTTCTAGCAAATTCAGAATATAAACGTTTTAGCCAAATTACTTCTTTGTTGATTCAGAAGCTGCAAAAATGTCTTTATCTTTTGGAGATGTTACTGTATGGGAATTGAGAATTATTCACATTGTCTTTCCCCGATTCATCTAGGCAATGAATCTGCCCTACAATCAGTAACTCTGATTCTTCTCAACCCTTCCAAAAATAGTTCGATTTCTTTTCAAACCCCTTTTATCAAGAAGTATGGACTTCTTATAATGGTAAAATCTTTATGTAATCAAAGATATGATATTTAACTATAATTGTATTTTTTTTTTTTTTTTGACACACTTAAACTCTTTGTTACGCTATTTATTTAAAATTGGATGAAAATATAAATAGATTTAAACCGATTTCAATAAAACTTGACACATGTTCGGCTGTACCAACGTTAGTACGTTGTGTAAAATTTTGTGCCAATAGGGGTAGATTTAACACTTTGATGCACAATTTACTAAAAATTCGACGAAAATATATATTCGAGCTATATTTAAATCCGAACCGATTTTAATAAAACTTAGCACACGTTAGTTTATCCTAATTTCGCTACGTTGTGCAAAATTTCGTGCAAATCCGCTTAAATTTGACACCTTGAGGCACCATTAGGTTAAAATCGGACGAAAATATATAAGTGGGAGCTATATCTAAATCAGGGCCGATTTCAATAAAAATTGGCACACCTTAGTCTATCCTGACTTTAGTATGTTGTGCAAATCCGCTTAAATTTGACTCTTTGGTGCACCATTTACCTTAAATCGGACGAAAATATATATGTTAGCTATATCTAAATCTGAACCGATTTCAATAAGACTTGATACACGTTATATATATGTTAGCTATATCTAAATCTGAACCCATATTTTTCCAGTTTCAATAGGGTTCGTCCCTGGGCCAAATTTCATCTCATTCGGATAATAAACACGACCTGCATTTTGTTTACAATTTAACATAGACAGACAGCCGGACAGGCATAAATACATAAATAATAATAATTCTCAAAAGTAACCATGGGTCTATCTCGTTTCCTTTTGCCTGTTACAAACATATGCACAAAGACATAATACCCTGTACCACAGTGTGGTGAATGGTATAACAAAAAAAACATCTGGACTGCCTTGAAACAAATCATGCTCAGACACATTTTCGCGCGCTTTCTTATCATTTGAAGATATAACTATGTTTACGGCGGCAAATTTCCTTCCCTCAAATCGTAGGCAGGAACACCGAACAAGAAGCCTACAATGGCTTGGCTTGTTTCAAAACACATGTGTTGCAATGATCTTTTTACATGAATTGAAAATAAAAAATCCGCACAAGTAGAGTTTGGTATGGCATAGAGGTAGGTAGGCAAATATAGAAACTTAACAACAATGTGCGATAAGGACAACAATAACAACAACATAACAGCAAATAAATACTACACAACAACCATTGCTTGCTTACCTTTGCTGCAGGACTGGAAAATGCCGATGGTTTTGGTATGCCGATTTGTTTTTGTGGTGTGGACACATCCTCGCCGACATCTTCATCTTTTTCCAATTCTTTGGAATTTTTTTGATCAAATTCCCATAAATAGCAGTTATCGAGAATTTGAATTTTTGTGTTATTAAACAGATTCTGTTTGTTTTGTACCACTTCACCATTAATGGTAACGGGATATTCAGCACTGAAATTCCTTATGGTTATCTGGAAAAAAGAAACAGAACAATTTTTTTTTTTGATTTTCATTTGTCGTTCAGAAAATCTCTTTTTTTAACTTACCCTGCCAAATGCGTCGGATTCAATAGTGCAATGTACATTCTCTACCCGTACATCATCAAGTATTAGATCACAATTTGCATAGCGTCCAACTGAAAATTTACGGCCCTTGGCCATAATAATTTCGCAATGATTGCCGGTCTCATTGAGACATATAAATTTAGCGCCTTCAAGCGTCATTTTTTTGCTGGTTGCTTTTTACCGTAAGCAGGCGGCTGCTGGTTGCCTTCTTTATACACTTCTTTACTTCTAGACACAAAGGATAAACAATTTTACAAATATCCTTGTTGTTGTTGTATTATTATTTAGTTGTTTTTGTAATACTTTTATGTTTTATTAATAATTGCACAGGATTTTTATTTTTCCACAGTTACTTTTTTGCTGTGATAAATCTTGTTATTACAAAATTTCCTGTTTTTTCCTCTCTTCATTTATAGCTCTTTCGGATATTTTGTAATTGTGTATGTGTGTACAGCATTCGCCGCATTTGCAAAAAAAAACGTTATTCGCAGCAACACCAAAGCGCAGCAGTCTTATATGTTGAACAACAAGGAGGCAGGCAGCCGACGAAGCCGTCGAAGTAAATGGAAAAACGAGTATAGAAAGTTTTTTTCTGTTCATGTAAATTTTTCTTCAATGGTCGTCAGAGGCAGTGGCTTTCAATTCGTTTTTTGCATAAAATTGACAGCTTTTTTGACTAAAATTCCATTTAATTATTAAACAATTGATATTGATTTTCACTTATCACTGCACTTTACTTCTTTTTGTTATTGAATTTTCTTGTTTAGCAAAATTTTTTTTCAGTATTGGAATTTCTTCTTTTTTTCATCACTGTCTTTACATACTTTCTGCACTGAAATGACGCCGCTTTGCCGACCGAATGCCGAATGTTTGTGTTTTTTTTTTCTTCTGTTGTATTGCCCACAATTTTGTTCGTTTGAAAATTTTTCAAATGCAGGGTTGTATTTGTGGCCAAACATTGTATACAACTATGTAATGAGATTATTTTGTATACATAAATAAGGAATAGATTATATAAGGAATGTAAAATTATGTCACATTTTATATTGGATAATTCAATCTATTATTAAACAATTGAATAAATTTATGTAAATATTGCAAAAATGCAACACTATTGGCAGTCAATGTGAGATGATAACATCATAAAAGTGTTGCCAGATAACACAGTAACGCAGTGCTGCAGAACCAACCATAGACAAAAACGTTCCCTTTGTGGTTAAAGAGTATTAGGGGAGTTCACATATTACATTACGATGTATTTTTTTATTCCATTCAATAATGTTAAAATCTCCTAGGTATAAAAGTAGTACAAACATAAAATTATTTTATGCTATCTTCTTTAAGATGCTTCTCTTAAAATGCCAAATTATAAAAGAATATCAAAGCCATATAGAGTTTAGTTTTGTTTGACAACTTGCCATCTGACAAGAACAGTGTTGCAGAGAAAACTTTAGAAAAAGCATTCCTGTTGTTTTTAAGCAATATTATAGTACGTTTACATTTAACCGGATTTGGTTACTCCAGTGGCTTTCAATTGTCAATTCATTTGCATATATGTTAAATAAATCCTCATAAAGTAGGTTAACCCGGTAAAAAGTTCTAATGCATATGCCGTTTTAGTTGAGTTCACATAATGAACAACCATAATGTATAATAAGTTCAAGTAGCAGTATATAAAAAATATTTTGCCATAAATAATTGAATATTATGCTCGCAGATGATCAATTTTTTTTATTTTGACAACCCATCACTGTCAAAACGATTTTGACATACCTTATAAATATGTCAGTATATGTAACAAATACACACATACATTTGTCAGTTACAATTCCGAAATAACATTTGTTTAAAAATTGAAAACAATGTTTTTACAAAAAATTCAATTACGACGTGTGAAAGCCTGAAAATGTAATTTTGTAACTAGGATAGAACAGCCGCCTAAAGTTAAGTTATTAAATAATTATAAATTAGTTAATAATAACCTTAAATATTTTCAGGAAATATAGCATTTTAAAGAAGTGACGTCTGTGTGTGTGTTCCGCATAAAAAATGCTTATGGTAGTAAAATAAAATTAACTTTGTTGCTTAAATACTGTCTTTTATTGTAGGAAGAGAGCTGAAAGTGTTTGAACGGGATTTCGTATACAATTTTTTGTTATAAACATAGTTGGGTATCAGCGTTTAAGTTTTTTCTGAACTGGTTTTCAACCATGAATTAGCCCGTTAACAATTTTAAATCAAAAAAATTACAACAGAAGTTCGTTGCCCTTTGGTTTACAATTTACTTCAATTTCCTAATGGGAAAATTTGAAGCAGCAAATTCCGTTGCAATGAAAAATTCCTACTTTCAACTCCATTTTTAGCGTTTTTGTATGAGTTACCTCTACATATTGTAATGACTCAATTGGAGGAAAGATCTGGAAGCTATAAAATTATAAATTTGCATGATCTTCGTTAATGTATTTCAATTTTATTCTGTAAGTTCAAAAAAAAGAAAAATACATTTTGAAAATAAGTAAGTATTTTTGTTTACATTTTTTGACATATCAAACTGACACTAGTGTTACATACAATAACAATTTTCTATGTGGTTGTTGATTTGTAATTGTTGTAGTTTTGCAGTTACCTTGTATAATTATACCGTGCTATTTAATTAAAAATGAAATGAAATATTCGAAATCGCTTGATTTAACTAAATCCAGTGCAATGTAAACGATAAATTCTAGATCTATAGATGCATTCAATTAACTGCACCAAGCCGCTGAAAACTTATTTAACGGCGGCACAGAAAAATAACAACAGCAAGAACAGAACAGCTGTTAATTCATCCTCTGCTCGTTTTTTTCACCTCATTCGTAAACACGAAATTCGTCATCGCCTCGTTTGCTTTCACCTCACTTTACAGGGTTGTAATTTAAAAACTACTCACTGTTCCCTTAAACCTCATTCGTAAACAACGTAAACAATGCAACTCCTTTTTAGTCTCCATCCCACCTCATTCGTAACTTTCCGTCTTCTTTTTTGACTTCTTCTTTACCGGGCATTTTGACTTTCCCATCCCATTCGTAACAGGTGGAACGTTTTTCAACATTTCTGCAGTCGGAGGAAGGTGACGCGTGAAAAATTGTTTTGCATTTTCATTTCTTTTCCGGAAAAGAAAAAATACTTGAAGAAATAATTAAGAAAAATTTGAAAAAAATTTGCAAAAATGGACGCTGATGCCGCACGTAGGTCCTGGGAACTGGAAAATAATATCAAAACACTGCCAGCATGTGATGAAATCTTTCGTTATGATGCCGACCAGCAAAGACAAATTCTGGATGCCAAGCCATGGGAAAAAGATCCCCATTATTTTAAGGATATTAAAATTTCCGCTTTGTCTCTATTGAAAATGGTAATGCATGCTCGTTCGGGTGGGACTTTGGAAATTATGGGATTACTGTTGGGCAAGGTGGAGGATAACACAATGGTAAGAGATGATTAAATATAATTTGTGTATTCATAGTTTATGTGTGTGTTGTTATTTTTAGATTGTCATGGATGCATTTGCTTTGCCGGTAGAAGGCACTGAGACTCGAGTCAATGCCCAATCGCAAGCCTATGAGTATATGTCGGCCTATATTGATTCCGCCAAAGAAGTTGGTCGTTTGGAAAATGCCATTGGTTGGTATCACAGCCATCCCGGTTATGGTTGTTGGCTGTCGGGTATTGATGTCTCCACCCAGATGCTCAATCAAAACTATCAAGAACCATTTGTTGCTATTGTGGTGGATCCCGTACGCACGGTATCGGCTGGTAAGGTATGCCTCGGTGCATTCCGTACCTATCCCAAAGGATATAAACCACCAAATGAAGAACCATCAGAATATCAAACAATTCCATTGAATAAAATTGAAGATTTTGGTGTCCATTGTAAACAATATTATCCGCTGGAAGTGAGCTATTTCAAATCGGCATTGGATCGCAAACTATTGGATTCATTGTGGAATAAATATTGGGTAAACACATTGGGCAGTTCTGGCCTATTGACCAATACGGAATATACAACAGGGCAAATATTTGATTTGTCCGAGAAGTTGGAACAAAGTGAATCGAGTTTGGGAAGGGGTACATTTTTGTTGTCTGGTAAGTTGTTGTTGCTGTTTAATTCAAATGTAGAACTATTTTAACAGTCGATTTGTTTTTTTAATTTTTAGGTGGCGATGTAAATGAAAAACGCACTGAAGATAAACTAACTAAGGCCACCAGAGATTGCAGCCGTGCCTCAATTGAATTGATCCACGGTTTAATGGCTCAAATTGCCAAGGATAAATTATTCAACAAAGTTGGTTTGGATAACAAATAAATTGATTATTATGTGATTTTTTAATTTATGTATAATTTTGAAATACGTCTTGAACAGAATAAAATGTTCTTATATAAATATTAAAAAATCCTAGAGTTTTATTGAAATGACCCCTCAGTAAGAAGACCGAAAGTCTTTTTATAGAAGTCTGATGGGTTTCCCTGTACACCGAGGGGTCTCCTTATAGAACATCGAGGTTTCACCTTATAGAACAACGAGGGGTCTCCTTATATAAGACGCAGGGACTTCTTATAGACGAACGAGGGGTAATCTAATAGAAAACGAGTTATCTTCAACATGATCTTATAGTATCCAGTATCCGCTTCGACAGCCGACTGTCTCAGTAGTGTCGCGACATCACTACAGACTATGGAGATTGAGTTCGGATCGTCAACATCGCCAGGGTTTACATCCCTACTCATAATTTGGGAGGACACACCTTGCTTCGAGGGAGACACCAGGATCGCTACCGTGTTTGTCACCGTAGTGATAATCACTGCAGTTTCTATGAGGGTGAGTCTAACAAGGGTGAGTCATCCCTGAGCTGATTCGGGATGCTCTCCTGACTAAGGCGGAAGGAGCCGGTTTCCTCTATTCAGTTGAGGAGAAGATCCGACTGTCACTCCAGGTTTTCGTTCACGTCATCGAGAGTAAGACATGAGGCAAAAGAGAGGTCCAGGGGAGTAGCTTAGGTCGTCAGAGAATTTCCGCAACCTGCAGACGCGTCCGTTAGCATTTAGCTCTGCTCCCCGAAGGCGGAAAGAAGAGTACTAAATGTGATACCATTTGTATTTGGCGAACCGGTAGAGCTAGAACTCTTAAATTGTAAATGAGGTTCACTGATGGAGAGTAGAATAGGTATAGAAAAGAGGGGTTTCTGGACATTCGAACTATAAGTATGCGAAAAGTACTAAATTTTGTACAATTTCGTAGTATGTGAATGTATAGAGCTAAAAACTTGAATTTTGGAATGCGAATAAGGGTTGAGATGTAGGGTCTATTTAATGAGATGATTTTGAAAGGGTGTACTCATGTGTACGAAATGTACTATATGGTACTATATTTGGTGCAAATTTAATTTAGAGGTACAAATCGAGCTGGAATCCTGAAGTTTGAAATTAACATTATCGTGTAGGATTGGGATATGAACGTAGTTTTGGTAATTTATTGCTTATATGTACGAACTGTACTATAGTTGGTACAATTTACAATTTGGGTGAACCGATAGAGCTGGAACAATGAAATTTGGAGTCAGGATCACTGTTGGGTGTAGGATTGGGGTCAGGATTCAGTTTAAGAAATTAATACTTATGGTTACTAAATGGTACTAAATTTGGTACAATTTAAATTTTTAGTGGATCGATATGGAGCTGTAATCCAGAAATTTGAAGTTAGGATCTCTGTTGGGGTGTAAGATTGATATGTAGGAAGTTTGTACGAATGTGTACTAAATTTGGTACATTTTAAATTGTAGGTGAAGCAATAGAGTTGGAATCCTGATACATGGATTTAGGATCACTGTGAGGGTGTATATTTGGGTTAAGTAGGAAGTTTTGGAAATTCGTGCTATTGTGTACTAAATTTGGTACATTTTAAATTGTGGGTGTACCGACAAAGTTGGAATCTCGAAACTTGGATTTTTGGATGACTGTTTGGGGTGTGAGATTCAGATATGTAGGAAGTATTCGAAATTTTTTACTAATGTGTACTAAGGATAGAGATATGTAGGAAGTTTTAAGAAATTCATACTACTGTGTACTAAACTTGATACAATTTGAATTGTGAGTGACATAGGCCGTTTTCTATGGAAATAAAATAATATGTTAATATATGTTTAAATATTTCCACATTCGCTAATGAAGTAGCGGGCTAGTATGCTAGTAAGAAGATAAATTGGTATTCTATAAGAAAACGAATGGGTCATTTAGAAGACGACCACTCTGGCTTTTGAAAATTTTCCAAATCATCACCGCAACTAGAAGCTGGATTTTTTTTTTAGCACAGCTCATTTATTTGGACCAAGGATGAACCTTATTGAAATTGGTTAGAATTGGTTAGTATCGGTTCAGATTTAGATATAGCTACCATATATATTTTCGTTCGATTTTATGGTGCATCAAATGACCACGGTCAATCCTATTGAGACAAAATTTGGCACACCGCATGGAAATAAGTTTAGGATAGAGAGAGTGTTAAGTTACATTAACATTTGATTAGATTTAGATATAGCTCCCATATACAGTTTCGTCGGATTGTACGTAAATGGACCATCAAACTCCATTTTTCCGATTGAGACGAAAGTTGACATACCCTATTGAATTGAATTGAGTGTAGAATAATTTGTGTTACGTTTTGTAGAAATCGGTTCAGATTTCGATATAGTTCCCATACTTATTTTCATCCGATTTTATGTAAATGGGTCACCAAATTTCGAAAGGTTTGTCCGATTAAGACGAATGTTTTCATACCCTATTGAATTGCATCTGTAATAATTTGTATTACGTTTTGTAGAAATCGGTTTATATTTAGATATATCTCCCTTATATACTTTCATGTAAATGGGTCACCAAACACCGAAAGGTATGTCCGATTGAGACGAAAGTTGGCATACCTTATTGAATTGAGTCTACAATGGCATGTGTTAAGTTTTGTAGATATCAGTTCATATTTAAATATAGCTCCAATATACAGTTTCATCCGATTTTATGTAAATGGGTCACCAAACTCTGAAGGTTAGTCCGATTGAGACGAAATTTTGAATAACGCATTGAATTAAGTCTACAATGGCGCGTGTTGATTTCTGTAGAAATCTGCTCTTATACATACTTTCGTCCGATTGAGTAGAAATTTTGAATAACTTGTTAAATCATAAAATATTATTAATCATAATAATAGGAATTCCCACCCAAAATCATTTCTTTGTAACGTAATAAGATATGGTCTCCAAGTGCTACGTTACTGATAAGTTCGACTGCATTTAATTATAAAGGCATTACACAATTTTTCTGCCCCAGTTTACAGATTCCCAATTAATATTTAGAAAATATTAAAAATATACACAAGCTTCCATTTATCGTAATAGCATTAACTATTAGTTTGCTCTCGGTATGGGGCTCTGGTAGATTATTGAAATTGCATTAAATTAATTGCTGTTGCCTACTGCCGCTGCTGCTGTTGACAAAGGATAAGAATAAAATATGGATGTAACATGGCTATGGCGTGTCTACGGCTCTTAACATCCAAAACGCCAATGTTTAGATAAGAAAAAATGCTATAAACTCTACTAGTATCCTTTGTAGGTCTGCCTGTGGGTGGTAGTGGTGCACAACCGTTGTATTTAGTTGCTTATAATAATATAAAAAAATATATATGTACATAAGTATGGGTCGTAACAATGACAATTATTCAAACATTTAGTATCTATAAAAAGTGGACTTAAGAAACATACTTACTTAGCTGGCTTGTTACAGAACGGTTGTTCCATAAGCCGAGCTTAAAAAAGATTTCCAAGCGCGCCGGTCTTGTGCGCAAGTCCACCAATTTGGAAGACCACGTTCCAAGATGTTGTTTTCTACTTGGTCTTTCCATCTAATTCGTGGCCTTCCCCTTCTACGGGAACCATCCGTAGGCTCATTTTTATATGCCTTTTGAGCTGGGGCTTCTTCATTCATCCGCACAACATGGCCTAGCCACCGTAGTCGCTGCAGCTCAATACGACTGACTATGTCGATGTCTGCGTATAAATTGTAGAGCTCGTGGTTCATTCGACGCCGATATTCACCGTCGACGCAGATCGGCCCGTAGATCTTTCGGAGAATTTTTCTCTCAAACACCCCAAGCGCTGCCTCATCTGCTTGCGCAAGTACCCATGCTTCTGATCCATATAATAGCACGGGTAGTATCAGCGTCTTGTAAAGTGTGAGTTTGGTCTGGCGAGAGGTGGCCTTGTTTCTAAACTGCTTACTTAGACCATAGTAGCATCTGTTGGCCATCACAATCCTTCTCCGAATTTCAAAACTGATATCATTCGTTTTATTTATGGCGGTACCAAGGTATATAAAGTCTTTAACTACCTCGAAGCTGTAGTTCTCAAGTTCCACAGTTGGTCCGAGTCTACAGGACGTCTTGCGCGTTGATACCATCAGCTTGGTCTTCTCGCCGTTTACTGCCAGACCCACTTTGGCAGACTCCTTTTCAATTTGTTCAAAGGTGGCTGTTACCGCTCGCGACTTAAGAAAACAACAAATATTTTACAACATATTTATGCGGGATACAATTTTATATTTTAATAAACAAATCATAACCTAAAATTTCAAAATACATATTAAATTTTTATAAAACAATTTTGCATAAAAATTTTATAGCACACCGCTTGTTGCTGCCAATGATCCTTGACGGAATTTTTATTGTTATAAATATATGATTTTTTTTTGTTTGTTTGCCGCCCCATTCTAATACTACTGTATATATTAACCATAGACATATCGCCGTACACACACATACTTCAGAATTCTTGTAACGGAAGGATATAAACCCGCTGGGATGCTTGTAGTTGTTGTTCATTTTGCGTGACTATGTCCTTATTCTGTTGTCTTTTTTGTTTTGTTTTTGTGACATTACTAGCCCATCACATTCAGTCGGTCGCCTTAAATGTGATAAATGTGACAAATCTTTAATTGACACCAACTAACAGAGACTGATAGCTGAGGATAAACAGTAGCAGTAGTAGTTCACAAACAGTTAATAGTTTCTATAGACTTAGTAAATGTTTAAGACATGAGATATTAAAGTGTGTTTAAGGCTTTGTTGTAAGTTAAACTAGAAAAAATTATAATAATAGAAATTAGCAAATCCAAGGGGAGTCTTTAAGAGGAGTTTAAGGGAGTTTTTCATAGATGAGCTAAAGGGAGTATTTATTGACGAGCTGAACAGGGAGTCTTTCATAGACGAGCTGAACAGGGAGTCTTTCATAGACGAGCTGAAGCAGGGAGTCTTTCATAGACGAGCT